ATGTACAAGATGGAAAATGCTGGTTGAGGGATAAACCGTTGTCTAAATTTTTGCTAGCTACTGATCTTCAGCAGGCCGGTCACTTGGACATCTGATAGACTTGGGCAGCCTAGTCAACCGACTTGTTTAGAAAAGTAACCGTGAAATCAGAAAAATCATTCAAGGTAATTCATTCAAATTGTCTTTTAATTCATTTTTATCGCACAAAACGCATAAGTGCGAAAACGCGTTTTCCTTGGTGTAGTTTTAAGTTTTAGTCTTTCAAAACCCGCTCAAAACCTTCTCTAAAACCTTGAAAAATAGTTTTACGTGGGTTTCGCAATATGCTTTTTCATATTCACGGATCAAAAATTTTTTTATTGCAAATGGTTTTTCGATCCCAAAACCCAGTATTTCAAAAACCGGATCTTTAAACTGGGCCCAAACCAACGTAATATTCGGTATCAGGACACTCGATTACCTATCCACTAAGTTTTGGGCCAAAAGCTTCTGGACAGTTGGGGACCTTCCCTCGTAAGACGTGTTCGACTAATGCAGTATAAATCTGAAGTTTTTGCGTATACTTTGTTTTTACACCATACTTTGATTTTATGATCCAAGTAGCGAATAGCAGTATTTTTGTAGAGCAGAAAAACAGAGCTGGGACAGCTCCAGCAGCCGGCTCCGATGACTGTAAAGGTCATAGTGGTTTATAGTGAGCCGGTTGACGAAACGTATCGGCTCCGGTCGTTTTCTATTCATTTAAGAAATTCCGACGACTAATAAAACTCAAACCATCGGACTAGTTTGATAGAGAAAACATTGTAGCATCGACTGAAGTTAATTTCAGCTTGTTCCTGACTCACTATAAATTACTACGACCTTTACATTGATTGGAACAGCCCAGCCTTGCAGAAAAGTCACTATAACTTCTTGCTGTCTAATAAACTCTAGAAATCCTCAAATATTTGTGTTCGTTTTTCAGAACGTCCTGTTAACGAAACAGAAATGGCTCTCTATTGAACGGATTATTCAAAAACAATTTCGACTTGTGTTCTTTCAATCAACAATAATATTCAAAAACTATTCTTTGCGAAGTTGCTCGAGAGACGCTTACTAAAAGTATTTGATTTTTGCGTTGTAGTAACACAGAGTTTTCATAAGTTTCAGTCTGTACAACTTTTCCTCTTTTAAAGATCGGCTCGTACAAAAAACTGCCGGGAAAAAGTCTCGGGCCTTTTCTTAAACTTTCTGTAGAAGTCGAATAATTACACTCTTGTTCGTACCAGTGGGTTTTTTACACAGTTCAAATATTCGAAAAAGATTTTTTTTTCGTATTTATTTAGCTTCTTTTCCATTTTATCACGCTTTAGTCAAAAATAACATCCGACATCAAATTGTGTTATTTCTCATCTTTAGACTTTCACGCAAAAAACGGCTGGTAAGATCGAACGCGTAATATTTTTACTTTAAAAGAAAATTTTCAAAACGATCTAAATTTATTCGACGTAGTTTTCTGCGTTAATTTGTAACACGATATCTGTTTTTCCTTAAAATATTTTCTGATGGCAAAAACGTCAAATCAGAAAACGTAAGTCGATTTTACGTCGTTGTCAAATTAAATTGTATACCTCGTATGTTTTATTATGTTCGAAATTCAATTTAGACAGCAGTAAATACAAAGGTGTATGAAAGACAAGTTGTATGCATGTTTTTTCTTTATAATGTCAGAGAGAATGTTCCCACATTTTTACTTGTCTTCTTTCAATAGAATCGTCTTAATAGAATATTAGTATTTCATATTTCATCCCGACGGACACCGAACCGTTGAATTATAATGTTGTTGAAACAGTTTGTTACACATTTTCTGAATATCTCCCGTCATTTCAATTAATCGATAGTTGTACGTATTTATTGACAGACCATGATCAATTGGATGTTTTTTACTGCTTGTTTTGTATGCATTATGAAATATTGTATTTGCACGCATACTGAATAATGTTTCACCAAATAAATATAAACATGGACGATTTGTACAATAAACAATTTCAGTTATATTTAACCATGTAATTGCTCCTGAACACATTGGGCACGGTTCAGCTGTCGTATATAGTGTTAATGACATATTTAAACGTTGTTTTACTGTATATTTTTCAATTAATTTTTCTAGCACAGCTGTTTCAGAATGTTGTAATGGATTATTATGATAGTTTGCTGAACTTTCGGCTACAATTTTATTTGTGGATCGATCAACAATTATTGCCGTGAATGCCTCTTTGTTACTACGTGCTAACTGAAGAGTATGTAGCATGTATTTCGAATGATTGAGATGTACACGAGTTGATTCTTGTTGAGGTAAGTGTGTTGAAATTACCTTTGATTCATGTTCTAGTGTTTTAGACTTGTTTTTCAATACTGAAAAACAAATAAAACTAGTTAATAATCAGCCTTTTTAAAAGCGTATGATAAGGGTTGACATAAATCGTGTCAAACACATTGTTTTGAATATATGCTGCTGATAATGCTTGAATAAAAGATAAGAATCAAAAGTTTTAATTCTTGGCTAACTTTTATCTCTTTTTGATCTTGAACTTTAAATTTTTTTCAGCCAGATTTCGAAGAATGTCGAACATCAAAAATGATTTTACACATGCATACACTATATTTTTTTATTTCTTTATCACTTTTCTAGTGCAGATTTCTTACTTGCAATGGACCTTCCACAAATGCTGTATGGATTCTTAAAGAAAAAAAAAAATCTCAAAGGCGTATGGACTATGTGATTTAATTAATCTAAACCGCTGGTAGTTTATCTAATGTAAAGAGACCTTGACCTCAGCCTAGCTCGCTTTATCTAACAATGGCTTTATTTTTACAAAATTGCGGTTTGAGGGACTGATTGAGTCATTTTTAATTAGAATTAATTACTGAAATTCTAAACTACGATCACAGAAAAGCATTTCGATTTATTCTTGTAAGGTACTGGAAATTCGAAAGTTACACGCAAATTTAGATTTTCTTTCAATATACATAGTTGGATAGGCCGTGAAACGTAGATTCCGAATATCACCTTTTTATTTACCTTTGATCAAGTTTTGAGGGAGAAATCTTCAAAATACTGAATACCATCTGAAAAGTGAAATTTTGACACTTTGGAAGTAAACTTCAAATTTGGCTAGGTACATAGGTTCTCGTTTTCTCAAAAACACTCAAACACACATATTCGGATTCAGCAGCTCAAAAGGAGTCTAGCCATGTAAGTTCGAGAGTATTTTATCTACTCTAGCGCCTGAACCAGATGGCCTAAGTCCGTCCATGGCCGTTCTGAGACCTCTGTGCGCCAAACCTATGTAGTCTTTTGCATTAAAAGCTTTCCCGAACAATTATACCTCATTTGAACCGCCATTAAAAGGCGAACAAAAGTATGCATGCGTTCGAAAAACTTTCGCTTCCTCATGGAGAAAAGTCGACTTTACTGAATAAGAGACGAAAAGTCGAAATTCTGCTCGTAACTCGCGATTTTCCCGAAAACAATTTCGAAATACACATCATTC